TTTATCACTGGTAGGTGTCAGAACCCAGAAGAAACCCAGGAAGTGCAGTTTTACCATGTTTTAGCCATTAAGCTTGCAGTATTGGGTAGGACAACTGTTCTTTATTACCTTGTGTGAGGGTGTTTCTAGATTATAAGCTCCTTGGGCACAGCAGTTTCTTTATCAACATGGTAACATGGTACCCTTATATCTCTTAAAAAGTATTTTACAATTAGTGGGTACTCAGTGATTGAGTAATGAAATAGGCTGTGTCCAGTTTCCTGCTTTGATCCACTGGAATGGATGTTGGTTCCAGGGATGGTTAGTCCAATAGCAGTGGTATTCAGAATAAGTAAGAAGCAATTCTCTGCATTGTTCAGAACTCAAGGGTTGAGCCAGCTGCTGTGAGAACCTCTGCCTTTCACGTATTGCTTAGCCTGGGTCGGCTCTGGGAGTTGTGTATCTGAGTTTCAGGAAACCATGGTGATCAGCATCATAAAATGCTCAGAGATAAGCTACAGGGCCTTGATCTTGTTCAGGGGATTTTCCTGTGGGGAGATTGCTAGAGGTGAATGAGTAGAGGGAGGTGGACTGTGCCAGGTCAGCCTAGCAGGGAGGGGTTCAGGGTTCACTTTCCTTAGTGCTTCTGTTAGGAATTCAGAGTACCATCTAGACCTCTAGATTGTTATTTTTGCTGTCACTGAAACTATTCTGTGGATTTAGGGAGGATTGGTCTATCTGTCTTGGTATCTTTGGCACATTCTCTTTCCATCTTTATTATTACTACTACTACTACTACTACTACTGTTTAAAAACTTATAATTCAAACAGTTGTTTGAACAATACAGAAACCCCATTTTTTGGGAGATAAACAGCATCAACAGTTGGCTGTTTCCTTAAAGATATTTTTTTCCTTTAAGTCTATACAAATCATCAGTGTATATTTATATAACAAAAATGAGGTTATTCTTAACATTTTGTTCTGCAGCTTTCTTTTTCCCTGTGACAATGTAGAAGGTGTGTATGTGATCCTGTTCCCAGCTGAGTTTAAATTGTTTCAGTACAGTCAGTGGGTCAGCATTTATTAAAGAATAGTTGTGCTCTTTAATGTTTCCATCAAAGCACCTCTATCGACAATAGTAACCTCCCCAGACAGGGCCCTGGGGTGCAGCTTCAAGCACCTGCTGCAACTGCCAGGTATCTTTGAAGCCAAATGTTTTATTTTACAGGTTCGTTTTGTTTTATGCATTGTGTTTTACCCTTTGGGTTTCCATACCCCAGCATACACATGGTTCAGTGTGAGAACTAGGTTCACAAAAGGTACCTGCACACTGTGTAGGAAGTATGTTGAGGAATATCAAAGTTCTGTGGTAGCAGATGAAGAATGAGCTCAACCAGGGGGAGGGTCCATCTCACTCTTGGGTGATTGGATTCATAAGCGCCTTCCTGAAAATTATGGCCATCAGGGATTACCCCTCTAGGGTAATCAGGCAATCAAAAGGCATCACTTACAGTGCTAATGTCCCCAACCCACTGAATAAATTGTTATTTTCATGGAAAGCAGGGTAGTGAAGCCAAATAGGTCTGTTTCATTTTGGAGGATATAGATTTCTAGGACAAAGATAGTATTTAGATAATAATAAAAATATCTAACATTCATAGAGGTTTACTACTATATGCTAGCTAGTCCTAGTATATCTCATTTTACCTTTGAGACATAGAGATATAACTAACTTGTCCATAGTCACAGGACTAGTTCATGTTGGAGTCTGTGTGTACTTGTGTGTACATGTATATGTGCAAGTACTTACGTGTGTGCATGGGATGCCATGGATTAGACCCAGCCTATCAGAGAAGATTACTGAATATGGTGGATATGGATTGCCACCCAGGGTGGGTTATACCTAATGTTTGTGCATGTGCCAGACTGGTTTTAATGTGTCCAAGTGGCCTGGAGTGAGAGGGTTGCCTTTCTCTGGAGGACCCAGATTTCCATCAGTGCCTTTGCATAGTTCTCTCAGGAAAGAGAAGGAGCTGGCGGAATGGCTTTGTTTCTTTTTGACCATAGGTCTGGTAGTGAGCTCTGAAGGCTGGTTGCAAGGCTGGCCACATTAGAGCCATTGATAGCCCTGGTTGTCAGGCCATATCTCACCCTGAAGACATTGGGGGATCAAGAGAGTGAGGAGGGAAAGGGGTCTCGAAACCACATCTTAAAGAACTGGGGTTGTTTAGTCCATACAGAACAGGTCTCAGAATATCAATAGAATAAAGGAGAACTATCTAGAAAGGGCAACTTTGCTGTAGTTCAAGGAAAATCCTAGGTTGGTTAGGTAGAAATTCCGCAGAACATGTAGACTCAGCATCAGAAATTTGAAAATGCGTGGTAGAAAGATGTGACATCTTGGAGGGAGGTGATGGCATATGTGGAAGTACTAACTTGGGTCTCAAGCTCGGATTCTCTCACTTGCTCATGCAAAATGATTCCCACAGGCTGGGGCCCCACCTTTCAGGTACATTTCTGAGTGTGGGATGCCTTCATAGGTGGGCAGGTTGGATCTGAAAGGTCTCTTGCAATCCCACCCAAACCCGGGCTTCCAGTCTGCAGGGTGTTTTGCTCAGAGGCTGCCTGTTGAGCAGTGCAGATCTGTGACCCAGCTAACCAGATTGGGCCAAGAAAGGGTAGGGGATACTCTCCAGGGTTTCCATGAAAAGCACTACAAACCCAGTGACTTAAACAATATACATTTTTTGTCTAACAGTCCTGGAGGCTAGAAGTCCAAAATCAAGGTGTCAGTAGGATAGATTCCTTCTGAGGGCCATGAAGGAGTAATTTGTCCCAGGCCTCTGTCCTTGGCTTGTAGATAACCATCTTAAGTTCACAAGCCCTTTTCCCTGCAAGTGTGTATACCTCCACATTTCCCATTTTGATAAGGACACTAATAATTTTGATTTAGTGTCACCCTTGATCTCATTTTTTTACTTGAGTACCATTATAAAGACCCTATCTCTAAGTAGGTTCATATTCTTAGATACTAGGATTAGGACTTAACGTATGAAGTTAGGGAGACACAGTTCAACCCATATTGGGACAAGTGGCCCTCCCATGAGTTGAGCCCACGTGACGTTTCAGGGATGTAGTAGGCGGTGAATCTGAGGGCTAAGAGCACAGGCTCTGGAGACTCCCTGGGTTCAAATCTCAGCTTTGCCATTTGCAGGCCATGAGGCCCCTCAGGGACTTGATTTCCTCACTGCAAAGTAGGGCTAGTGGGAGGACCTGTTGCCATGGGGTCATGGTGAGGATCACATGAATAAGTGGAGGGAAGAGGCTTACAGGTGCTTGGCATGCAGTAAGTGGAGTCTGTGGTTAGCTGTTATTATAGTTAATGCCTCATTCACACTACAGATTGTGGTTGTATATTTTCCGTCCTAGTAGGCAGAGAAATGACTTTGCTCAATGATTTGTCCTTATCAATAGAATAGTGATAGATCACATATGTTGTAATTTCTCTCCAGGAATGGTATAATGCTTTATTTTATTTTAAGAGAAATAGTGTAATTTAGACTTTTTTTTTTCAGTAATGAGGATCGAACCCAGGGCTTTGTGCATACTAAGCAAGTGATCTATCACTGAGCTACATCCCAGCCCTAGACTTTAAAAAAATCACGTAGGAACCTTTATTCCAATGTTTCAGTGAACTCTGTTGGCAGCCTTTAATAAACTGAGAAGATGCTCAGTAATTAGGGACAAATATTCATGGTGGTATAGCCAATGAAGGAGTCAGGTGTTTTATCAACTTATAATCTTATGTTTTAGTCTCCTATGCCTTTCCATCTAATGCTCTTTCTTTAGATCTGAATTCAGCAAACATGCCTCATGTTTGGTTTTATTAGTTTTTTTTTTTAATTGTAAAATACTCAAAGCATCACATTTGCTGTCTTAACCATTTCTAAGTATATAGTCCAGTGACATTAAGTGCACTCGTAGTGTTGTGTGAACATTACCACTGTCCTCCCACAGAATCCTTCGCATCTTCCCAAACTGAAACTCTACCCAATAAACACAACTCCCTAATTCCCCCATCACTTTAGCACCTGGAAGCTACCATGCTGCTTTCTTTTTTTTGGAGGGGTTAGGGTGAGTACCGGGAATTAAACTCAGGGACACTCGACCACTGAGCCACATGTTGTGACTCTATTTTGCATTTTATTTAGAGACAGGGTCTCACTCAGTTGCTTAGCACCTCGCTTTTGCTAAAGCTGCTTTGAACTTCTGATCCTCCTGCCTTAGCCTCCCACGGTGTGCACCGCCATGCCCAGTATCTTGCTGCTTTTTTTCTCTGTGACTTTGAACACTCTGAGTATTTCACATACGTAGAATCATGCAACATTTGTCCTTTTGTAACTGACTTATTTACTTAGCATACTGTTGTAGCATGTGTCAGAATTTCCTTTCTTCCTAAGGCTGAATAATATTCCATTGTTCATATGTACCTCATATTGTTTATCTATTTGATAAACAAAATCCTTTTGGCTCTTGTGAATAATGCTACTATGAACATAGGTAAATAGACTTTAAAAAGTTGTGATCAAGCATATATATCTCTGTTGTAAAATAATTAAATATATAGTCAGTTAGAAAGCACCCTCCTACCCTGGTCACCTGAAATCTTCTAATTTAGAGAGAACCACTGTGTGTATTTCGTCTTCTCTTCCTCTAGCTGCATGTTGGCCTGTACTTATGAACTGGGATCATTTTATACATATTGTTATGGAACCTGAGCTGTTTAAAAATGTTTGAAATTTCCGAAGTTAATCAGTGGTTTCCTTGTTTTGAGCAGCAGGCTGGTGTGTGCCTGTGCCGGGCCAGACAGAGGCTGGCCTTCCCTTCTCAGTCTTCTGGGTGATTGGTACAGCAGCCCCCATTGCCAAGTGGAAACAGGCTGTGAGAAGCCCAAGGTCACCTTGCTCTTTCTGCCTCAAATGCTGGTCCCTAACTTGCCTCTCCTCTCCACCTCTTCCAGGCAAATGTCTGCAGACTGCGGTTAACCGTGCCACCCGAAAGTCCAGTTTCAGAGCAAACTGAAAAGAAGATTGAGAGAAGAGAGCAGGTGAGCATCTTTGAGGCCAATCTTCAACAGTCCTGGACTTGTTCTGTTTAACCCACTCTCCTCCTATCCCGAGGCAGTTCTCAGAGCTGTGCATCTGCTACTCTGCTGATATAAAGCCCCCCTTGACCTGCCCGCCTGTCTCCCAGAAGCCAGCCTGCTCTCCCTGGTGGCTCTGCCAGTGTTCTGCCTCTACTCTTGTTTCTTGGCGAACACTGTGGCCCTGTGTTGCCTTGGAATTATAGGGACACTGGCCTTAGTGAGAGGTGCTGTGGCAGGGAACGTGATTTTTCCTGAAACAGCCCAGTGCGGTTCAGTCAAAGGGTCCTTTGTGAGCTGCTGCCCAGCCAGAGACTTTCTCAGGAGCTGGGAGTAGCCAGCTGGGAGCCCAGTTCAGGCTCAGGCATGGAGGAAAAGCCCAGCAGCCTGCTCCGGTGGCAGAAGGGACACCTTGACTAGATGCAGGAGGAGTCCTGCTCCAAATGGTAAACACTCATGTGCCAGCAACTCCTGTGCTAAGTGCTGGGACCGTGAAGATAAGTGTGACCTTGTCTTTGCCTTAGAGGAACTCACAGTTTCTCAGGTGAAACAGACATAAATAAACAATGATGTGATATTTCAAGTATTCAGATCCAGCAACATAGAAAGGGCTTTGGGAACACAGAGAAGGGAATAATTGAATACTTGGCAGGGACATTGAAGTGCAGGCTTAAAGACTAAATGGGAGGTTGTATTTACCTTAGCCCGTGTTCCTGGCTGTTATAGTTCTCATATGAGATTTCCAAAAGTTCCTGTGTTGATGTAGGAGGTGAAATGATTAGAGTATAAGTGTTTAGTAATGTAATCAGGGATTATCTCATTTGATAGATTCATAATTATATTTATTATTATACTGGGTAGTAATTGTAGTTAGGTGAGGTGTGGCTTGAAGAGGTGGGTCATTGGGAGCACCCTCTTGGGAATTATATCTTGCCCCCAGCTCCTCCCTCTGTCTCTGCTTTCCAGCTGCCAGGAGGTGAGCAGCTCTCCTCTGCTGCCACCCTTCCTCCATGGTGTTCTGCCAAAATTTTGAAATCTGAAATGCTCTGAAACCACGAGCCCAAAGTAAACTTTTCCTCCTTTACGATGGTCTTGTCAGGTATTTTGGTTGCAGCAACCAAAAGGCTGACTAACACATTGGCCAAGCTATTTTACTCATTCACAAGCAATTATGGGGCCCCTATTGAATTCCAGGCACTATTTATTCTATGCACTAGGAGTATAGTAGTAAACAGCAAAATAGACAAAAAAAAAATATGTGTCATCCACAGAACTTATATACTAGTGGGACAAGAATGAAAATAAATAAATATATATAAGATATAGAATTTATAAACTCTACATATATCTTATAGAGTTTAAGAAATAGCGAGTGCTAATGAAGACAAATAAAACAAAAGGAGGAGATAAAAGTGCCAGAGATTAGGTAGTCCTTGTGCATGTTTCATATAAATATAATAAAACAAAAATGATGTAAGTTTCCAAATGGAATCATGAGATAGAAGCTTCTTGAAGTACAAGCCTTGCTTTGGCATTAACCAATAATGTGGTAAACCACAGAAAATGAAGCTTCTCATTGATTGGTGAGTAGTTTGGTTAATAATGTCCTTAAGTTTACTGGAGGTCCCCATATCCCCTTTCCTCCTCTGACATCCTTCTCCTCCCACTTCCTATGAAGGACAAATTGCTTCCCATGCCAGTGCAGATGACGAAGGACTGGGAAAGGAAGTGGAGAGGAAAGAAAAGGTAGAGAAAAGTGAGAGAATATAAACTTGCTGATGTGCTCATAAAGAATGGGTCCCATTAGAAAGATCTAGAAAAATGGCTTCTCCAGGGAGAAGCAGGGAAAGGGCAAGGTGGGCCTGGGGCAACTAGCTAGAAAGCAGGGTAGCACTCAGAGATGAGTGAAGTCCTGGAAAAGGATTCAGGAGCTCTATTGAAAGGGCCCTGTCTGATCAAATGGTAACAGATGGAGCATCACAAAGAATAATGACAGTACAGGTGGAGTAGCTCTGATCTGAAAACCTGCACTCCCAAATGCTCCAAAACCTAGAACTTTTGGAACACTAACATGACAATCAAAATGCTTTGGATTTTGGAGCATTTCAGATTTCAAAATTTTGGAGTAGGGATGCTCAGCTGGTAAAGTCTTTGCAAATATCCCCAAATTCAAAAACTCTGAAGTCTGAAACACTTTTGGTCCCAAGCATTTTGGATAAGGGTTATAACACATTGAATAGGTATAGTTGATAATGTATCAAAATATATAGGTACATTTTGATAATCAGAGAGCGAGAGTGTTAGGGAGGGGAAAGGGGCCTTTTTATAGAATGCTAGCTAATTAATTTAGAAAAAAATCTCCATTTTGTAACCAGAGATGTTCATAAGTGGATGCAAAAACTAGTTGGTGAAAGATAATTGTGGAATAGGATATTCATGTGGTCTAAAAATGTTACCTTGAAAGATGACTTACTGATTCTACAGGGTCAGCGTACCTTACAGTGGAGCAACTGGGCAGTCAGCATTTCAACCGAGTGATCTAATAGGAGACAGGCCAGGTTATGTGCTTTCTGAGGAAGTGCACTATTACCTGTGTACCAGTCTTGCCAAACATGTCTAACTGAATTAAAATAAGGAAGCAAAATCCAAAATGTGAAACAGTTTACAAAACAAGTGGTTTGTGCCTCTCCATAGATTCAATGATATTTTTAAAAAGATGAGACTTGGTAGTAGATAAGAGAGACTTAAAAGACCTAACATGAAATGTAATTTGTGAACCTTAATTAGATCTTGGATAAAAAAATTTATAAAAGACATATTGAGATAACTTAAATAATTTTTAATATAAATAATATCTAATATATTAGCTATCATTGAGTAAATGGTCATTTTCTTACTTGTGATAATGGTACTATGGTTATGTCGTTGAAGAATTCATTCAGCTTCTCTGAAAGTTCTTTGAACATTTACCATAAAAAATAGTTTTGGGTCACAAGGGATGTTGGGGAGGGGAATAATAGAAATCCACTGGATTAGATAAAGGGAAACAAAGGGAAGGGTTGGGAAGGGAGGGGAATAGGAAAGAATAGAATTAATCGGTCATAACTTTCCTAGCCTTGAATTTGTATACATGGCCAGGGTAACTCCACATCATGTATAACCACAAGAGTGGGATGCTAAATAGAATAAGTTATACTCTCTGTATGTATAATTTGCCAAATTACACTCTCTGTCATGTATAACTGAGAAGAACAAAAAAAAGTTTTGGGTCAAAAAACTTATAACCACAAAGAGAGTGGGAAGGGTCAACTTGGCTGCTGGTGCCTTGAGATGACCAGGATTGGATGGGACCCTCTGTTGCTGGGGGGACATTCTCTTCTGCCTCCACACTGCTTTTCTCCCTGTATGTCCCTTTTATAGTTGATGGTTTCAGGCACAATGACTGCTTAGAATACTTTTAAAAATTTTGTTTTAATTAGTTAGACATGACAGTAGAATAAATTTATGCACTTTGATATATCATACATAGATAGGATATAATTTCTCATTTTTCTGAGTGTACATGATATAGAATCATATTGGTCATGCAGTCACATATACAAATAAAGTAATAATGTCTGTTTTGTTCTATCCTTCCTATCCCCATATCCCCTCCTCTCCCATTCCCTCCCCTCCCCTTCCCTCCCTTCATTTCCTTCTATCTAATCTAAGGTAATGCTATTCTTCTCTAGTGGCCCCTGCCTTATTGTGAATTAGCATCCACATATTAAAGAAAACATTTGGCTTTTGGTTTTTGGGACTGGCTTATTTTTTTAAAATATTTGTTTTTTAGGTATAGATGAACACAACACAATGCCTTTATTTTTATGTGGTGCTGAGGATCGAACCCGGGTCCCGCCTGTGCTAGGCGAGCACTCTACCACTGAGCCACAATCCCAGCCCCGGGACTGGCTTATTTTGCTTAGCATGATATTCTCCAACTCCATCTATTTACTGGCAAATGCCATAATTTCATTCTTCTTTAAAGCTGAGTAATATTCCATTGAATATATATACCACATTTTCTTTATCCATTCATCTATTGAAGGACACCTAGCATGGTTCCATAGTTTACTATTATGAATTGAGCTTCTATCAGCATTAATATGGCTGCATTACTGTAGTATGCTACTTTTAAATCCTTTGGGTATAAACCAAGGAGTGGATAGCTGGGTCAAATGGTGGTTCCATTCCCAGTTTTTGAGGAATCTCCATACTGCTTTCTATAGTGGTTACACCAATTTGTAATCCCACCAGCAATGTATGAGTACCTTTTTCAGCACATCCTTGCCAACATTTATTGTTGTCTGTATTTTTGATGATTGCCATTATGACAGGAGTGAGATGAAATCTTAATGTAGTTTTGATTTGCATTTCTCTAATTTGTAGAGATGTTGAACACTTTTTCATGTATTTGTTGATTGATTGTATTACTTCTTCTGTGAAGTATCTGTTTAGTTCCTTAGGCCATTTATTGATTGGATTATTTGTATTTTTTGGGGGGGTGTTAAGTTTTTTAAGTTCTTTATATATCCTAGAGATTAATGCTTTATTGGAGGTGCAAGTGATAAAGATTTTCTCCCAATCTGGAGACTCTGTTCTCACATTATTGGTTGTTTCCTTTTCTGAAAAGAAGCTTTTTAATTTGAATCCATCCAGTTTATTGATTCTTGATTTTACTTCTTGCACTTTAGGAGTCTTGTTAAGGAAGTCAGATCCTAAGCCGACATGGTGAAGATTTGGGCCTACTTTTTTTTTTCTATTAGGCTTAGGGTCTCTGTCCTAGTGCCTAGGTCTTTGATCCACTTTGAGTTGATTTTGTTCAGGGTGAGAGATAGAGGTTTAATTTCATTTTGCTACATATGGATTTCCAGTTTTCCCAGCATCATTTGTTGAATAGGCTATTTTTTTTCTCCAGTGAATATTTATGGCACATTTGTCTAGTATGACATAACCATATTTATATGGGTTTAAATTAGAGGCCCAAGTGGGCCGAGTGACAGGATAAGGGCCTTGGTGGCTACGCCTGTATGTGTGGTAGAAGAGTTGAAAATTTGGTCTGTTGTCTTTGGACCCAAGCTGCATGCCTGGGGAGATGTTCATAAAGGGTTTCTGAGTGCTGAAACTGGGGTGGTAGATGTCCTGGAGGGGCTGTCACTACTGAAGACAAATCAGGTGATCCCAAGGAAAGAGGCATGTGTTTAGCCATGTCAAGTGGTATTGATAATCGGGTTGTGTACCCATTTGCTTATTTGTCTTGAGTAATGCTTTTTAAATTTGTTAAAGCAGTAGACTTTTTTTTTAAATAAATATGTTATATATTGAACCCTCATATATAAACCAGGCAAAAGTGGCTTTGGTAGGGGTCAGAGTCCTCCTAGTCTCCCTTCCTCTTCCGTTCCCAGATCCTACTGTGGGTGCTTAGGAGTTCCAAGGTGCAGAGGAGCTCAGGTCAGAAATCACTGGGGCAGTATAGGCATCACGATGCCACTTATACTAGGGAGACCGGGTGTGCAGTCTGAGTACCTGTCACACACTGGTGACTCATTGTAGAAGAACTGGGATAGAGAGGAGGAGGGTGGGGCTGGAGGTTTCTCTAGGACTGAAGTCCTTGGGTGGTGGCAGCACCTGAAGGTTCTGTTGGGGCTGTTCTGAGTGGTTTCATCATCATGTGCTGGACAGGTTCCTGAGCTTGAATCATTGAGAGCCAGAGTCCACGCACCCACAAGGGTACTCTGGAGGGGCCACTTCTTCTGATGTGGTTCTAATATGACTGCCCCTCCCTGGAACCCACAAAATTGCAAAGTACCCAAAACCCTGGATGACCCTCCCTGATCAGATAACTTGGTTCCTTTGAAAGGGGAACTGTGGTTGTCAAAGGCCAGGAGATTGGTGCTAGCTTGGATATGGAAGTGGGAAGAGGTCAGTAGCCTGATTGACTCCTAATAACCTAAAGCTTCACAAAGGATTTCCAGTGCCTTGTTAGAGCTACAGCTGGCTGAGGGTGGGCTGAGCTTTACTCTTCAACACCATCCTGGAAAACACTTAGTGTATTTAGAGTAACTGGGATGCTGTGGGGTGGTTGGCCAGGCATAGATGCCACTGCCTGCTGGGTATTCTTCTGTCCCTGTTCTCCAGTCATCGGAAGAGGAATTACTCAAAATGCAGGTGTGTTGCAGATGGTACATTTTGCCCGGCTGTGTGAAGGTGTGTTCGGAGCCTGCTGGAGGCAATTACAACAGAGTCAGTGCCTTTTTATGGATTTGTGGGATCATGATATATACTGGGAGGATTCCTATCCCTAAGGCAGATGCCTGGCTGCCTGCTCCTTTCAGTCCTTCTCTTCAGAGACTTCAACTGCTGGAGCCTGCTTTCTGCTGGTCACAGGTGCACACCCCCACACAGAGCTTCCTTATCTTCAGAGCAGGAGTGACAACACCTGGCTACACAATCAATGAGTTAATACAAGCAAAGTAGCCACCACAGTGTCTGGCTTGTAAGGTGGATTGGAGAGGCAGTGATGACATGTCAGATCTCTTCCCTTGAAGGCCAGACCCAGTGGCCTTGGCCTTTGCTGTCCTCCTTGTTACCCCCCTGGAGTCATCCTCCCACTTCCTCACCCCCATGCTGCTTCCCTGCCTCTCCTCCTTCCTTGGGGGCCATGTGGCTCAGGCCTTCTACCTTCTTTTTTATGTCATTCCATCCTATTCTGTGAATCTGAGCATCCCTCCATCCATATGCCTCCTCTTTCTGCATGCACCTAACCTCCCAGCATAGTTTGGAGCTGGCTTCTCTTGGAAAGATGCCTATCCCACATACCAGTTCTGCAGCCTGGGCCCTGTCCTAGAGTGTGGCCATGCTTGTTTTGATGATTTCTTTCTCTCTTTCTTTCTTTTTCTTTTTACAAAATGCCAGTGTTTTATTGGTATATTGCTATTATTTCAGTATTAAATATATTTCATTTTATATGAACAGATTCCCAGAAGGTTCTAGGCAGAATATTCAACAGGGTATAGGTGGACACATTAGAAGACATCTGGTCATTTTTCTCTGCTGTTAAAGAACTTCCCAAGCAACTAGCATTTCCTTCTTCCTCTGAACCTCTGATGATCCCTGCCCATGTCTGCAGTCTCTTCCCAGCCAGCTCTCACTTTACCCAAGACTCCCTTGTCTTTCAAGAATCAACTTCCCCACAGAGACCTTCCCTTGCTTCAGTGACTCTCCCTCCGTCAAACTCCAGACTTCAGGCTGCCCCCCTCGCATGGCACATAGCCATCTGCTGCTAAGAACTCCACATGTCTACAGATTTGTATTTCTGAAATATTTGTATATGACATTCACTTGTGTATAGACACATGCAGAGCAATGAGCAGTATCTTTTATTCTTTCTCCCCAGAACCTAGCTCCCTTTCTCGCTCCAAGTAGGAGCCCAATGAATGACTGTTGATTGTGTTGAATGAATTTTGTGGTAATATCCTAGGGCTGCCAAAACAAAGCATTTCAAACTGTAGGACTTGAACAGTAGAAGTTTATTCCCTCGTGATTCTGGACACTAGAAATCTGGGATCAAGGTGTTGGCAGGTCTGTACTCTGGAGGCTCAAGGAAAGAGTCTTTCTTTGCCTCCTGTAGCTTCTGGTGCCTCCTGCAGTCCTTGGCTTGTGGCTGCATCACTGTACTCTTCATGTGGCACATGGAGTTCTCCCTGTGTACACATCTGTCCCTGTGTGTAAAATTTGCCCTTTTAGTAATGATAGCAGTAAAAATGGGTTAGGACCCACTATAAGGACTCACTTGACTCTGTCTCCTGTTTTTTTTTTTTTTTTGCACTGGGAATTGAACCCAGAGTCTTGAGCATATGAGGCAAGCACTCTACCAACTGAGCTATATCTCCAGCCGGACCCTGTTTCCAAATAAAGTCAAATTTTGAGGGCATTGGGGCCTAGAACGTCAACTTTTCTTTTTTGAGGACTCTGTTCAACCTCTAATAAATTTCTTTGTATGATACAATTACCTTAAATTGTATGAACAGCTCAGATGAATTAGCTGTGGGCTCTTAATTGTATATTAAGGATCACTGGTCACTTTGTTCCGGCTTGCTCAAGATGGCAGCTCCCATGGCAGCAGCGTGAAAGTTGTCGTGGGCAGTCGCTGTCCGGAGGTGCTAGAATCAGAACAGAGGAACCTGGTGCCATGTCGCGACTAATTGTGAAGAACCTCCCGAATGGGGAATTAAAACTCCTGGCTACTGATGATACCTCCAGTCAAGACCTATGCCGAATGGACTGACATCATCATGGATCTGTGGTGGCAAGGAACCTTCCTTGATCTGGTTCCTGAAGTTATACCAGTCCTTTCTGCCCTCCTGGGGGGCTCCTTACTTCCCTCCTCTCTGATTCTCCCACACTACCCCATCTCAGCAGGAAACAGCCAGAATGAGTCAATGCCCACTCTCATTTAATAACAAAGAGGGGGAAATGTTGGGAGTTGCCCCGGCTCCAAAGAACTTCCCCATCCCCTAAGAAAAGCTGTCCAATAGTGAGCCCTGCTGGCTCACATGATCCTTACCCACCAATCAGACTAGCCCTGCTGGCTCACATGATCCTTACCCACCAATTAGAAAGCACCCCATGCCAAACTGTCAAACCCTTCAACCTTTAAACTGTCATATCTATCTAACCACCCTCGGTTCTATAAATATGCAGAGCTGTTCCTCAATAAACGGGCATTTTCTTCGGAAAAAAAAAAAAAGAATCATTGATAATGTGGGAGAAGGGATGCTAATTAGTTTGCAAGTACAAATTTCATGTTGAAAAAGTGATAAATATGGAATTATTTACAAAATTGTTGAACATTAGAATTAAAATGGATAGTAGATAATTTGAAGCTGTAAAATCTATAATTTTCTAAGAACTTTGAGAATGTCTGTTTTCACATTACTATCCGGATCCATTGGCACGGTGTTTCCATGTGTGTACAGGTATCCCCACTCCCCCGACCACACACACACACACACACACACACACACACACACACAGACACACACAGACACACACAAATAAATAAGAGACAGAGCCTATGCCAACACAGATGTGTTGAATCAGGATCTAATGCATAGCTGAATTTCAGGGAATCTTATTTGAGCTGATTGTGTACTTTTCATGAAGGCTTTTGCAAATTGATAGAATAGCTTGAAGCAGACAATATTTTAAATAGTTATTAACATCCAGCATTTAAGTGTCCTTCAGTGACCTGATGTTTTTAAAGAAGCCCTTTCCAGACCTTTGAAAACCGAATGAGGGAGAGCAGATGTGTGCATATGGACATAGAGTGGGGAATTTTGTAGCCAGTAAAATGTTTCACAGGAAGAAACCCTGGCTATCAGGTTTTATAGTCCCTTTCTTTTAAAAGCCCTGGATGAATAAGCTCTCTGGTTCTTATCCTTGGCGTGACTGTTTATACAACATCCAGACTGTTGCCAGGTGAGGGAGTGTGCTGCCATGATTCAGGGCTGCAGATGGGGCTGGGGCTGCCCTCTGTGACAGTGTGCAGGGACTCTGGTGCCTCTCAGCGATAACAGCCCTGGAGGATGGGACAAGGCCTGGGCTTCTAGTCCTGGCTTCCTCACCACCACTGCAGAGCTCTGGCAGGTCATGCTATCTCTAGGGGCCTCAGTTTCCTCTGAGAGCAAATGGAAATATTAGCTTAGACTCATTGTTTTTCCAAATTATTTTAGCTGTGGAACTCTTTCTTCAAATAATATGTTTGTAAGCCATAAAGCATCCCACTAGTGCAGGGGCTTGATTTCAAATCAGATCAGGGCTATATTGGCTGCCCCCAGTGGCCCCCACCCCCATTCAGCCTTCCACCCACACTTCCATGAACATTGAAAAGGAGCTGGGAATATTGTTTGTAAACTGTCTCGACTACACAACTCTTTTTCAATTTTTCTGAAGTTCAGAGAAGTAACTAATGTTGCACAGAGCCACCCAGCTGGTACAAAAAGTGAATTTGTGATCCTAAGGCAGGTCTGTAACTCTGCCGTGTAGCCCTGGGAACATCAACTTGCATACTCTGTCTTATCAGGCTAAAGCTGCTTAGGAGATATATTTACATTTTATCAGTCAGGGTTACCTAAGGCATGTCCTATATACCCTTAGGTTCCAGAAAAACAGTTCCTGATTTTTTCCCCCCAGATATTCTTTCCTTTTACTCTGGGACTGTTGATTAGAGAGTGGTCTCTATTTAATCTGTGAGACTGTCAGAAAATTAAAAAAAAATAATAACTTTTCTCATAAGTCAAAGGCTTCCATTTCTCTGAAGATGCAGAGCTGGCAGCCTTCTCTTCCCTATTCTTGTCCAGGCTGTGGAAGGGCCTTTGGGCTCAGCTGTTATGTTCATTTTTGTTATAAGAAGGCAAAACAATGTCAAATATGAGTAATGACCTGGGATGAAAAATTTGCTAAGATGGACACACAGGTCAGACAGGCCAGTGCAGATTCCTGAAAGTACCAGCTCTGCTTACAAGATGGATAGGTTGCCCTCTGCCTCAGCACTCGGCAGCCCCAGGGCACCCACTATCCTCTGGTCAGAGAAAAGAGGTCCACTACAAGAAGTGTTGGAAGTAACTTGACTTCTACTTTTCAAGTCATTCATGCCATGATCCTAAGTTATATTGGCAGACTGGAAATGTGACCAGCTGCTGGTTCTGGCCTCTGGGGCTGTGGCTGGCTGTGGCAGTCTACTGCCATCAGTTCCAATGAGTTAAGCTATATTTCTGTGTTATTTATTCCTCAAGATCCCTTATTGACAAAAGGACTTTTTTTTTTTTTTTTGTACAGATTGACTGTCTGGATCTCTCTGATGCCAAATACCCGAGTCCCAATTTCAAAAATTTGATCTGTCTGCCTTCCTTCAACATATGCATATTGAATATCTATCTATGCTTAGTATAGAGACACAGCTGTGAAGATGGCACTAAGTTCCTGCCTTTGTGAAACTTGTTGTATTGTAAGATTCAGGAGCTGGAAAATATGGTGACCTTTCACTGGCCTCACTGGCCAGACTCTTCCAATGGCCAGTGAATCCCATATTGTAGCAATTTAGACTGAATACTTTCCTTTAGTTTCTTCTTTTTAAGTTTCTAAAGTACTTGCTGCTAACAGCTGCTAACACAGTGTGAACCTGGAGGTTAAACTTAAGCTCTAAGTACTCATTAGACATACCCTAATGGGGCAGCTCTGCATTCTGACCACACTTGCTGTTAATTCTAATGCATTTCACTCAGGGCCAATGGAGGGCCTCTTCAGTTGGTTGTTTCCTTTTCCCTTCTTGGAACAACTTTCTTTTCCTTCCAGGTCGTATTAGGGCTTTTGTCTTCAAGGAGATTTTTGCCTGTTACTGTTTTACCCCAGGAGGCTGGTAATAGGTCTAGTTTAATTTTGTGTGTGTGTGTGTGGGGGGGGGGGTTTTTTTTTTTTTTTTTTTTTTTTTTTTTTGTCTTTTCTTTTTTGAAACTAAGGGATTCAACCTAGAACTTTGCAAGCATGAGGCAAGTGCTTGGCCGCTGAGCTACATCCCAGCCCTAGTATATCCTTTTTTAAATTTGACTTTTTAATATTCAAAAACACTATCAGGAGGGCTTAAGAAATCTTTCAATTATGGATAAATTTATACAAAAGGGGACTGAACTGTGTGATGAATCACTAACCCTTCATCCAGCTCCAGTTGCCCTCAACCATGGCCAGTTCTCCTTGTCTATACCCCCATCCACTCCCTCTGCCCTGTGTAAAGAAATAAATATGTCATAAATATTTCAACATGTTTCTCTCAAGATAGACTGTTTCTAAATATTATCACAATACTTTTATCATGCATCAGTTATTATTTATCTTACAGAGAGATATTTTAAAGGCTATAAGAGGAGAAACATTCAGGTATAATGTTGCCAAACATTAGCTCTTTTAATTTTTTCCTGTGTTCTCCAGTTTTTGACCACAAGCATACTGATGTTTTGTAAAACTGATGGATAGCAGTCTCTGCTTTTTGGGCACTTTTTTGGGTATACAGTTTGTGATTGGGGCAAATGTCAACTATCTACCCCTCCAACTAAGAGGAACAAAGGTGTTCCCTTCAGCTGTACCATATTTATATACTGAGGACGATTTCCCATAACCTCTTCTATCTTTTAAAGCTTCCTACGTATTCAGAAAATATTGAAAATTGAAATAAAAATCATCAATTCAAAAATAACACTTTGATTTTTTTGCCCCCCTTTCCCCACCTGCCAAAGTTTAGAGTACAAAAGAGTATAAAGGAAAAGTGGTGTTCTGAATTAAGAGGAAATTGTCATTGAAGGTTTGCACTGCATCTTTCTAGATGTTTTACACATAAGTGCACATATTCCTAAAACAAACAATAGGAATGTGCCATTTACTATTTTTCACTAAATGCATCTTCAGTATCATTCTGCGCACACAACTTTAGATCCAGACCCTCTCAGGCAGAGTTCCATGGAACTGTTGTTATTGGTATTGTGTTTCCTGTCTTGGTGGTGGCACCCATTTCCCCCCTGGAAGACAGAATCCAGCTACCTGAGTTTTTCTGCATGCTGGTCCACCTCTGAGCACCTCTGCTTTGTGCGACTGCATCTCACCAAAGCCTCAGGTTCTCATGAGCTTGTTTTTCAAGAACTGGGTGGAGCCCATGACTGAAAGAACATGTTTTTATTTCCTGGTATGTGGGGATTTTCAGTAGAGCTTTTCCTCTTCCTAATTACATGCCTAGTACATTGGGGATCTTACTGCTGACTCGCCATCCCACAGAGAACCATTAAACAGCTGTTCATCTGAATTTATGAACAAATTTTGGGGCAGCAGCAGTGCCTGCAGGATCTAGTTGCCAGGGACACGTGTGCATTTACAAGGAGCAAGGACAGAGTGTACCAGACTCTCGGATCTTCTCCCAAGAATGTGCATAAGGTTGGGAAGTAGTGAATGTGTTTTCTCTCTTTTTATAAAACTTATTGTTAAAAGAGAGAGAGAAAGAGAGAGAGAGAGAGAGAGAAATTATACAAATAATATGGAAGTATGTAAAGAAAAAAACAAAAGTAATCCTGCTCTCCAGTGTCCCTGTCCAGCCCCACTGTCCCCTCATCAGAGGTCAATAGTATTAATAATTTGTCATGTATCTTTCTAGGCTTTTTAAAAATTTTACAAACTTTGAATGGGATCATTAAAATCCTCATTGTTCTGACACAATAAATGATATTAAATGCAAATTTTGGTTTTGTATGTCAAAAAATACATTGTAAAGATATGGAAAGAATCTATGCAAAGGTGGTTGAGGAGCTAGTGGGAGAGTGGGGTTGCCCTGATAGGTTTCCTGCCTCTGCTGGTGTCATGGTGGTAAGAGGATCAGCCCAGGAAAAATGAGGAGGAAGCTGTTTTTTTTTTTGTTGTTGTTCTGGGGATTGAATCCAGGGGTGCTTAACCACTGAGCCACATCCCTCCCCCCCCTTTTTTTTCCTTTGAGACAGAGTCTAGCTAAGTTACTTAGGGCCTCACTAAGTTGCTGAGGCTGCCTTTAAACTTGTGATCCTCCTGCCTCAGCCTCCTGAGTCATTGGGATTACAGGTGTGCACCACCATGCTTGGTGAGGGGGCTGTCTTATCATTGTAGTCCCAGTCCTTGATCTGGGTTTCTTTCTTGCCTCTGTCCCTTCCATGTTGTAGAGGCTCCCACTCTGTCCCTCTACATCTAGCATACCCTACAGTACAAGGGGATGTACTTAATGTCAGACAAGATAGGCTTAAATTTACTTTTAAAGAACATAAGTTATTTGATCTCTCTCAATACCAGTTTTCTCAGCTAGGAATAAGAGGAAAATTGCTGTGACAGAGTGCTTATGAACGTTAATCTAGCAGATGGTCGGTACTCAGCCAACCTTAATTCTCCTTTTTCTTGCTTCCTGAGTCTTCTTCCATAAAGGTGTATTAAGACTTGGACATGTTATCCTTTCTTAAAGGGATTTGCATTTCAACAGTGATCAAAGCTTTAACTGAAGGAATTAAGGATCCATCAGCAGGAGTAGGAAGATTCTTTTGGACTGGAGTCACATGGCCTGTGCTTGCCTTTTCAGAAATATTTCATGAATGATCACTAACCCCACCTTTTTTTCTCAGAAGTTGGCTCCAAGGGTAAGCCCTACCCTCGGAAGACAATTTGGCTGACTGATGACTGCTAACCTCAACCTCCTGCATTTTAGGCCATGTATTTAGTGATGCACCTAAGTCATAAAAGGAACTAGTGTCATAAGCGTGAGGTTTCAAACACTTGTTTGTGTCATAACCCGAGTTCTTCTGGCACCTTGTGAGAATTGAAAAAGGGCGCCCCCCTCTGGGAAGGCGGGACTGTGCAGATGCACTCTTGAGGTCAGTGGACAAGGGCCTCTATAGAAGTTAGCCAAAGATGTTCTTCCTCTAGGGTAGAGGGAGGTCCAGCCCAAACTGGGAGCCCCACCCACCCCTGTTGCCAGGCAGCTTTGTGCACAATCTGCATTACCATACAGTGGGCCCATTATTTAGCCATTTTCATGAGTTGTTATTTTTTTTTTTCTGTTTTCCTGCTTTCTTTTAGCCTCCTGAACTAAGCAATGGAGAACCTACCAGGAAACTTCCTCAGGGTGTTGTTTATGGTGTGGTGCGAAGATCCGATCCAAATCAGCAGAAAGAAATGGTGGTGTATGGGTGGTCCACCAATCAGCTGAAAGAAGAGATGAACTACATCAAAGATGTGAGCCACTGAAGGCTTTTTTGTTTTTCTGGTCTATTTTCCTTTTATAACATGTAAGAGGGCAGAGTTGGAAACATTGATGTGAATATAATAAGGCATTTTGTAAAAATTCATAGTGTTATTTTAAATGGAAATGTTTCTACATATCTTCGTGGTAATGTTAAAAGCACAGATGTCATTCTGCATGGGATAGATATTACTAAATGAGGATCCTAGGAGACCCATCCATGGCTTCCTTTTTCCATATATGGTATGAAGACTCTTAAGAGCTTTTGTTTTTTTACGTTGGACATGCCTAATGTATAAGTTTGGACAACTCCATGACTTTGGATGCTTTAGAATACAAGTAAGAGAAACGTCAACTCGGAAAGAAAATTGATCTCACGTGGCAATGAGTCTGGAAGTAGCTGGACTCCAGGCTGGGCATGGCCAGGTGCTGGTTCTCCTTTTCTGTGTTCCCCATTGTTTTTTTCCTCCTCAGCCTTAGGCTTGGGACATCTTCTGAAAATATGACAGTATCTGGAGGAAGGAAAGAGTCCACTCACTTGGGATACCTTTTGTATCCCCCCCCACCCCTCCACCTCCAGCCATTAGATTTCCCCTTTTGTCTCATTCACTAGGGCTGGTCACATGCCTGATCCCAAAGCAATCCTGGCAAATGGACTAAGAGGATGTGGTGGGTTCAGACCAGTTATTTGAGTGAAATGAATGCTGGCAAATAAAGCACGGTAGACCATTGCCCAAACCAAGACAATCAATGCCATTTATTTGAATGCTTTATTTCTTATCTTTTTTAAGTTACAAATTCTTTTGGGGAAATTTGAAAATATATGAAGAAGAAAACAAAATCACTCATAATATTGCCAATTTAACCCCCATAGTTGTTAACATTTTGGAGCATTCTCACACATTTTAATGTCTATCTCTGTTTCTTTTAGCCCCACCCAATATCCCCCTAGATTGACTCTGTGCTCCTATGGCCCAAACCACACTTATCAGATGAAAGAGGAAATGAGCTGCTCTAACACTGATGGGCCCCAAGCCCTGACCTGTGTGTGGCATGGAAAGTACTTGTGAGCAGCAAGGGCAGCAGAGTGCAGGGGAGGCTCCCATGCCTGTGAGTTCAGAGACCCTGCTTCCAGGTGGCTCAGCACATCACCTCTGCCTCTTTAGTCTTCTGTTTTCTCATGTGAAGGTTGTGAGGCTGTCCTTATTTCATTTAGTGGGTTTGCAGATGACATGCAAAGCCACTGTTTAAAAAAAATTTTCTTTTAGTTGTAGATGAACACCATGCATTTTATTTATTTATTTATGTTTATGCAGTGCTGAGAATCAAACACAGTACCTCATACATGCTAGACAAGTGCTCTACTACTGAGCTACAACCCTCACCCAAATACATGTATTATTGAATTTAAAAAATAATAAGTGCTTAGCAGAAAATGTGAGGAAAATCTAGAAAAGCAACACACACACACACACATACATACACTGTGTGTGTCAACCACCTGCCTCAAATTCCCAGTTATTCTATCCACCAAAGACAATTTTTAGCCATGTGGATTATTTCATTCCTATCTGTTGTTGTTCTCCTCCTCCTCCTCCTCCTTTTTGTAGTGGTAGATGGACAGAATGCCTTTATTTTGTTTGTTTTTATGTGGTGCTAAGGATTGAACCCATTGCCTCACACATGCTAGGCAAGCGTTCTGCAACTGAGCTATAGCCTCTGCCCTCTTATGTGTTCTTAACATCTTGGGCATTCTAAGCCTCCTGTATTTTCCTGAAGGAAACACTTAGGTCTTTATCATTTATATGCTCAAAATAACATACTGTTGCTTTAGAGGAAAGCCTTTTAAGCAAGGTTGCAAGTCTCAAATTGCCCAAGACAAAGACAGCAGGTTCAGGCTGATCCTTACCTGTGGGTGACACGTGCCAGAGTTGCAGGGCTGGCTCTGACCTGGAATTACTAGCCTCCACTGTGATCTGCAATGTAATGTTAATTTCCAGTCTCACCTTCAAATCCATCTCTGGCCTGGTCACTCCTGTGTATGTTTATGGGTTTGTTTACTCTCTCCCTGGTGAGCATGCTGGCTCTGTTGGCTTCCTCTGGTATTCTTTAGTGACAGAGACACCCAGCTCAAGATTTCACCACTCACCACAGGTGACAGTACGCAAGCCAGCTCAGGGCCACAAATGACAGTTGTTCCATCTGCCCACAATAGAAAGTCATGCTTTTGGCCTAATTTTCCCAATTTGTTTATAGTTAATAGCAAGAAAGTAGACCCTGTTATTAGCATTCATGGGGGAAGGCTTAGGGTCTTTCCTCCTTTCTGCCCCTAAATCACCACCAACCTACAGTGTAATTAAAATGCTGTGCTTCCTATTGGTTTTCTGAGGAGCTGCACACTGTTCTCCATGATGCCTGTGCTAACTTACTAATAACTACCTTCTCCAAAACAGTGTACACTAGTCCTTTTCTCCATGTCCTGTCCAGTATTTGTTGTTGTTTTTCATAACAATCATTCTACTAGGGGGAGATGGAATATTATTATACTTTCTATGTGCATTTACCTGGTGGTTAATAATACAGAATAATTTTTCATAAAAAATGTGCTTGCTATGCAAACCCACCTTCAAAATTGAGCCTCCCAGTTCTGTCCCTACACATGCACATTCTAGTGAGACCTGTTGCCCGTGAATCCTTCCTAAGGTAGATATTTTAGAGTGAGCCTGGAGGAAGATCCTTGAGACTTCCTGTCCTGTTTGAGGATTCCTGAGCACTTAGTCCATCTACAGGCATCAGAAGAAAGAAGGAAGCAGTGTCTGTTTGTGAGGTTTATTGTTTTGTTTAAAAATGTTTAAGGCCCTGGTGCTCTTCTGACAGTCACTACCGAGAACCTCAAATAGTGTTTGTGTGAATAGTGTTTGGGGGCCCCCTTCAACCTCTCTTAGACCTGGTGCCTCATGGATTATTGGTGATTATTGAGGAACCCACTTTGGATTTTATGGACCATTCAGCTATGTTTTCCTGTCTTCCATCTTCCATTAATTGTTTTTTGGCAATCAGAGCAGAAATAGAGAAAAATAGAGGTTTATGTTTGCCTTTTGGTGGTCCTCTTAGCTGTGCATTTACAGAATAAACTGTTGCAAAGAAAAAAAAACAAAAAAATTTTCTACTCGTAAAAATATATATGTGATGGGAAAAGTCAGACCTTGCCCAAATGTAGTAGGAAAGTGATTGGTGAATTTCTAAAAACCATATTTTCCTTTAGATTGTTATTTGTATATCTAATATTTCTTAATCATTATGTTATATATAAAATTTGGATTATTCTCTTGTTTTCTAACTAGGTTTTGGATCATCCTCTCTAATTCACTAGATGTCCTGTACTTGAAATTATTGTTATTATTATTAATATTATTATTAATGGAGCCCTTTATTCATTAGTGAAGTTTTGGATATCTTGCATGAAAATGTAAAAATGCTTGATGTTTAACACTTTTTGGGCTGCAGGTAAGAGCCACTTTGGAAAAAGTAAGGAAGCGGATGTATGGAGACTATGATGAGATGAAACAGAAGATTCGCCAGCTTACCCAGGAGCTATCAGTAAGTCCATATCTCAAGTCATGGCTGTTCGAAGGGATGGTGGAGGTTTCTCTCAGCAGCTGATCCCCAAAGATATTTGAGTATACAATGTTGTTGGTTTTTAATGGAGCCACATTCTAAACAAACTGAGGGAATTTTATCACAACTTAGACTTTATTATTTAAAGGAAACTTTTGTGGCAAGGGTAATCTTTATATTTGAAGCATTCCCATTGAAGTCTATTCCTAATATTCCTAAAAATTTATTCCACAGATAAACTCTGATCTGTGTGAGAAATGACTTATGGATGAACTTATTTATTGCAGCAGTGCTTGTAAAAGTAAATGATTGGAAACTTAAACATTCATTAAGAAGAGGAGAGTAGGGCTGGGGATGTGGCTCAGTGGTAAAGTGCTTGCTTGGCATGCATGAGGCCTTGGGTTCAAATCCCCAAGCGCAGCACACACACACACACACATACACAAATATTGTATAAGAAGAGGAAAGTAATATATATCTCCAACAGAAGACATATAACTGTAAAAGAAAAAAAAGGAGTAACTAAACCCTTTGAAAAGAGATAGGGAAGGCCTTCAAGGATGAAGGGTCCATGATGAAAAATGTAGGAAAAAAATCTGCATAACAAAATATCCTGTTTTATATAAAACAGGAGGGAAGAATACAAACATCAAGATTGTTTTCTATATGCACAAAAGTGACTAAAAGATAATCCAGAAAGTGATTATTCACAATGGCTCCTAACTGGAGGGCAGAGGAGGGCATGGAGTAACCTGGCAGATGTGACAGGAGTGAAAGGGGGATTTGTTTCAGTGTGTGCCTTGTATACTTTTTGTGCACCGGGCTAATCTATTACCTACTCAAAAATTTAAGAAAATAAGCTTCCTCTAGTTATACCAAGCTAATGCTTGTGGGATATAGAGTATTTGTTATTAATAATCCCAAAGATAGGAGTCTGTGTACACATGCGACATCCCTTCTGTGAGAGTCAACATCTGCAGGAAAGAGGACAGTTGCTACAGCTGTGCCTGAGTTTAGTTCCCGGCTGGGCTGTGGGGTTTCCTGCTCACGTAGGCCCTCTGGCCTTGATTATAGTCATGGGGCTATGTAAACATACCCACTGGCCTATTTTTCCTGGCCTGGAGGAGGGGATGTGTGACATTCTCACCTAATTATGGAAATTCATTCTGTCATCCCCTGACAGACAGTAATGACTATTCTCACAGCCAAAGGATTGAATTTGCAATAGAAGTGTAAACAAGACCTGCCCATTGCTTCCCATCATCATTTCTTGCATATGCTCATTTTCTCACTATAGAATTGTCCCAGGAGCCCTACCTCTCTGCCCACAGTGTCTCTCCAACTACATCCTGCAGCCAGATTAGGATTGCTAAATTATTATCATACAAGCATGCCCCTGGACAAGAGCCTGCCATATGCTCAAGTCCTGGCTTCCTGTTTCAGCTGTCTCTCTCCCACCCAGCAGAGTGCACCTCCTGCTCTGCTGTGCTAGACTGTTTCCATGACCTCCCACATTCATACAAGGTCCACTCCTGAGCTTTGCTGAAAACTCCTGTCCCTAGTCCTACTGCCTGCTCGCCTCTCTGCCCAGCCCTTGGTAATGTCTAACTCTGGCCTCTGATGAAACTTCCTCAAACTCATTAAACACACACACCCAACAGAGACAGCAACAAAACAACTCTTGAGAATTGGGTGAACCCAAAATGTGTTCTGTCAGTGGTGAGGGGAAAGGGCAAGATGGCCAAAGTCATCCCAACTGGGTTCTCCTAGCTATGATGCTTTTCAGCTGTTTGACTGTAAGCAACTCATTAACGTCCCTCTCCCATTCTGCTTCTTCCCGTAGTAAAGGGCAGTGACTGATTCCTGCACAGTGACCATGAGGTCTCAGTGAGGCGCTGTAGGTGGACCTGTACATACCACCCCAAGGAGAAGTCCTGCATTTCTACTCTCGGGGTCACACCAATGTTGACTTTTCATCTACAGCTTTACTGTAGATAACTGTTGAAGTGATGTGGTTACTCTCAGAAGAAAGTTCCAGCCTCACTGAGGGTGGCTGTGGGTGTGTACGGATTGGTTTTGAGTGGCTGTCTCCTCCATCTCTCCAGGTTTCCCATGCTCAGCAGGACTATCTGGAGAGTCACATCCAGACCCAGTCGTCAGCCCTGGATAGTTTTAATGCTATGAACTCGGCTTTGGCTTCGGACTCCATTGGCCTGCAGGTACTTATCGGCTTCCTGCTGCATGGCTCCTCCTGTCATAGGGCAGCTGAGCTTAACTCAGGAGGGAGGACTATTCTTTTGTAGTAAAGTCACAGAAAGCCCCAAGCTCATGATTCAGAGTCCTCTAAGCACAACTACAGCAAAGACTTGTGCCAAGGAGTTGCTGAAGCAAGTGGAAGGAAACTTTTCCAAGCTGAGACCCTAACCCTTTGCTTTATCCTCTGTAAAATATGGCTTTGGTTTCTGAGTACAGTGCTAAGAGCTGTCACTTGCTCCAACAGATAACTCAGTAGTCCTCAGTGTCTGTGCCAGACCCAAAACATCAATGACCTTCTCCCATAACCCTGATGGTTCAGGAAATTCCACCCAATCATAGAGAAGACGGACTTAACCAAAAACAGTCTATACTTTCATGACCAAAAGCTCCCAAAAGCTGATAGACACTTTTTCTTAATTTAGAAATTATTTTGCAATAGAAAGAGTCCTGTGTATCCCAAAGAATGTCTTATGTAGAGATAGAGAAAGACCCAGTATCCTACATTTGTAAAACTGTGTGTGGTCTGCTCATTTCAAGGGATCATTCTCTTGATTAATTTGATTTCTTAAGAGCCAGCCATTCACTGCTTCCCATTCTTACTCTTCTAGCCATGTAGTCCCCTACCTAACATGGAGGTTATTTTAAAGATGTTCAAAACAAAGCACTATATTCGCTTGAAATAGCTTTCCTGGGCCTAACTTTCCAAAGACATAAAATATTAGTTTTTGCTCCTCCTCCAGTTTCACAGGACTATTTTTATGCTCTTCTTAAAAGTTCCATAGACTATTCCAAGTATCTTCTGGTACTTTATAAATAATTTAGTGGATAAGCAAACAGATTTTTATGTTGGGCCTCTCTACTTCCCCCCAAGACCTAGTGTTCTCTAATAACGGCTCTATCAGCATGTGGCAGTAGTGTCAGCAGCAGCTGGCCACCGTCCCGCTGTGGGCCTGGGTGGGTCTTGTGTTTGGGTTTGTCTGGGATGCCCATTTCTGGCGGGGCCTTTGAGTCCCCTGCTTTTCCTGGCTCTCTTTTGTATATGCCAGTTTCCCCTGGCCCCAGGCCCAGTCTCAGTCCCACTTTGGCTCTGATTTATTCAGGAGCCTTTGTTTTCCCTTCCTCTTGTCACTAAGGGGTCTTGCCAAGGCTCCCTTCCTTTCCCTCCTGGATGCCACCTCACCCAGCCCACCATCTCACCCAGCCCACCAGGAAGAGTTTAGACTTTCTTGGTAGCTGTACTTTGTTTCTATTTTTTTGTTTTGTTTTATTTTTTTGCCAGAAAATATTTTTTTCCAGGTGATTTTCAAATGCTTCTGATGTGCCCCTTACCAGCCTTCCAGAAATGTATCCCCAGAGGTCAGCTGTTAGGACAAGTGCAGCCTTAACCCAGGGGTCCTGACTGACCCCTAGTTATTGTCCAGTCTCTTGGTCCTGAACATTCAGAGAATTTTATAACTAATAGATTAAACCAGTATTTGAATCCTAAGGTTGTTGGTTTCTTATTTATGCAAGATCTCAGCTTCTTCCACTTGAAGGTTCTACCCACATTCATTGTTATTGATAGGGAAACCAGACCCTTGGTTTGATTTCATAGACTATCAGTGCTGGAAAGAACTCTTGAGAGAATGTCCATTCCCTTTGTTTTATGGATGAACTGAGACCAACAGAGAGAAATTATGTGAACAAGGTGTCTAGCTAGTGGCAGAATGAGGATTAGAAGAATCCTGGTCTTCTGGTCTGGACTGTGAGTTTTATATGGACACAAGAATAGTATCTGTAGAGCCAGAGGGGATTGGAGATGGGGGTTGGGCTAGGTGCCTTCTAAAGCCCTTTAAAGCTCACATGTTCTGTGAGTCCCTGCTACTAAATGGCCTCAGTATTTCCTTTAATATCTAACTACCTCCATCAACAATTCTTTTTCCTGACTCAAATAAGGTTTGGATGAGACACTTCTTATTGTCCAAAGTGGAGGCTGAGGAAACTTCAGAAGATGATTTAACAAAGAGGACAGAGGTGTTAGGAACAGTCCAGCACCAATTTCTAAATCTCCTGAAGATGTGGATGACTTGGGGAGGTGGTAGAAGGTGCCCGGAACCCAGTGTTCAATGGTGGGGATTCTAGAGTGTATGGAAGCCATTTCTGTCTAAGGAGGGTTAGCCAAGGAGAAACTGAAGCAATAAATAGTCACACTATTAATTTGAACATTTTTGCCCCAGTGGGTGGCCTAAAGCAATAATCACCAGGCTCTTGACACTTGCCTGGCACTTGTCTAAGTTAGTAACCTCTGTTCCTTCCTCTGTAGTTCTTTATCACCACCCTTCTTGCCTAAGAGAGGAAGGTGATGCACTTGGGGGAGAGGGAGGAGCAGAGGGGGGAGCGAGGTGGGGGGAGGCTCAGAGTTGTGTCAGCCACGTTGTTAACATCCCTGTGGGCAGTGATGGGAAGTTAGGGCCCTTTTAAGAAAGAGGGGGATTTCTTCATTCTGTAAAGCCTATATTTTGTTTTCTAATTTCATTGTGTGGATATGGAAAATACAGGAAAAAAGAAGAAAATAGATATTTATACTTCTATCACAGTGAAAATTATTATTTGAGTTTGGATTTACTAATGGGATTTTACTGTACTATTTTAAAGCCTGTTTTTTTTTTTTCCCCCATGAGAAGTGAGGTATTATAGTCATTTTTCCTTGGAAAGACTCCATTGTAATCCACTTCTATCCATCCTAGGCAGTGGCAGGTGGTGTTGGCAACAGCTGTGGGAGGTTATGGGGGAGGCTAGCTGGTCCACCAGGCCACAGGACGGCAGACCATGTTACCACTGTGGGAGGCCCTTAGTCCCTCAAACAGCAGGTCCCAGGGTGGTCCGACAAAGGGATGTGGTAGCACAAGACCCTGGCTATGTTTTCTCACACCTAGATGTGGTTTTGTTTTAATTTTCATCCAAATAGAAAACCCTTGTGGATGTTACTTTGGAAAACAGCAACATTAAGGATCAAATCAGAAATTTGCAGCAGACGTATGAAGCATCGATGGACAAGCTACGGGAAAAGCAGAGGCAGTTAGAGGTGGCGCAAGTGGAGAACCAGCTGCTGAAACTGAAGGTAAAGTCCGTGACCCCCCATGTCCTACTAACCTTTCCCTTCTTCTCTCACCTCCAGTCTTCAAGTCTTCTATTTCCTTTTCTCCTTTCTCTTTTTGGTTAAAATTTCTCCCCCTTGTGGGCAATCCCTCAGGGCGAGGCTTGAACTAAAAAGATTTGTTGCTGAAAAAAAAAGTCTGAAATGACTGAATGAAGCCTTTTCCTGAACACAGGATCTGTATCTGCCTATTTATTCTACAAATACTTACTGAGTGTTTACTATGCACGTTTGCTCTGTGTATTCCGGTTTGCTCTGGGTGGCATGTCACCAGACATGGAGGGACATCATTAGGCCGCTTGGCGGTCTTGTTGCTTCTGGAATCCAGGCTTCCAAGTCTAGGCCTGTTTCATAGATTGATGCTTATTTTTATGCTCACCAGGGGAGTTCAAGAGGGTTCTTTCCCCTACCCTTTCTCTTATTTTATCTCCCAAATAAAAAGAAAAAAATGTTACGGGAACTCAGGGTTTTTCGCACCACCTGAATGTGGAGTGATCTGGCCTCTGGGACAGAGCCCTTTTCTGCAGTCCGTGTGCCATGGACCAAGACTCTCAGATAAATGATAACCTCTGCCTAGGAGTTTCCATTTGGTGGTTCTTGGTGCCAACACTTGCTTAGTGATGAGACAGAGAATTAAAGGGTGTCAAAAGAGACAACGTCACACCTTTGGAGTAAACATCACTTAACCTGTGGAGGTTGAAGGACTCCTCCCTTATCCTGAGGCTATGCATGCTGCAGACTCAGCTTTCTTGGTTGAACATTCCTTCACCTGGAAGGAGCATGGGAGCAAGCCCCCAGTGACATGAGATCCACGGCACAGAGTTCACGTGTGAGAACGAGGCCTGGTCAGAAAGGAAGCCCCAGCTCCCCCAGTCTCAGCCCTGCCCACCCTCAGTGCTACTGAGTCATCTCATCTTCCAAGCTGTGCCCATTCAGGCCAATTAAAGTGCCCAAATTAGTATCCCCACTAGGTCAAAGTGCTTCCAAATGTAACATTTGGGAAGGGACACAGGTGGGGAAGGGAGAGTCCATATTTCTTATTTAAACTTAAATAAAGTCTGACCTACAGACTGGCTTAGCTAACGTAATTAATAGGATTGTGCAGAGAAGCTAAGTTTCTACCTTTTGAAAAATTCATGCATGTGGACCACCTTTGTCCTGAACATCCTAAAAAAAATCAGTGTACAGTGCCACTTTAGTTTGTGCCCTGCTCACCCATCTTCCTTGTTCCTTCCCTCCCTGTCCTGAGAGTTTCTGCTGCTTCCCTCTACTGAGAGCTTTGGGTGACCTGCTCCCTAACTCTGTGTGTCCATGCACCAAATACCCACAGGGAAAGCTGCTGATGGCCCTGGGACCTGCAAAAACTGCAGTTCTTGAAATGAGTCTCTTTGCAGGTGGAATCTTCTCAAGAAGCCAATGCTGAGGTGATGAGAGAGATGACCAAGAAGCTGTACAGCCAGTATGAAGAGAGGCTGCATGAGGAGCAGCGGAAGCACAGTGCCGAGAAGGAGGCGCTCCTGGTGCGTAGGGGCAGCACCCACTGGAACCTGGGACACGAGGTGTAAGGGTCAGGTTTCTTACAGGGACAGCGGGATGGAAGTGGTAGGGATCAGGGAATTTGTTGCTCATCCACTTCCCTCCTCTCTCCACTTCCTGCCTTCATTCATCCCCTTCCCTGCTCAGAGTAGCCCAAGTCTTGGTCTCTAAATGCATGCCTTTCTCAGCTAACCTTGTGGCAGCATCTCCTTTCTACCTGAAATCTCTGCCTCTCCGTCCAAGAATCTTCTTGGGCTTCCTAAATCCCCTGTAAGTGCCACCCTCTCCGTGCCTGGGTCTCTTCCATTCATGCATCTAGAAATGTCCTCAGTCCTTGGGAAGCCACTCCATCTCTGCTCTCTGCTGTGGAATTTTTTTGTACCTGTCACAGCGTTGAGTTGTGTCTCATGTCTTGCTTTCATAGGACAGTGTACATTCTTTGCAGGCAGGGACTCCATGTCTGCCTTGTCTGCATCCTTAGAGGCTTAGTAAATGTGTCAGATGACTGAGTTGGGTTGCTTTTTTGTTTTTTGTGTTTTTTTCCCCTTAAGAGTGAGTTGGTGGGTTGCAGTATGGGATAAAGATCTGGGAATTCTGCATTCCAATCCAGATATGGCCCTAATTCCTTTTATACTGTTGGCAAATACAATGACATTCTGTGAATCTGCTCAAGGTTACTTGAACTGTCACAGGTTCTTTATGCCTTTTGTACATACGTTTTCAAGCAGAAAAGGAGAAATAGAGTTGAGGCCCATTAGAAAACCACATGATAAGTCTTTATTCAGAATTGAGAACCAGAATCACAGAAGTTGATATCATCTTTTGTCAGAAATTAGTTCCTGAGGTTTGACTTTTACAGGAAATCATGGTCTACCAAGGCCAGAGCTGTTTGTAGTAGCCTAGGTAGTCCATGCCTATACTGAGGACAGGATATTTCTTTTGCAGGAAGAAACCAACAGTTTTCTGAAAGCAATTGAAGAAGCCAATAAAAAAATGCAAGCAGCAGAGATCAGCCTGGAGGAGAAAGACCAGAGGATTGGGGAGCTGGACAGACTCATTGAACGCATGGAGAAGGTACTAGACACAGTTGCCCACTTTCCCAGCCTCTGCTGCATTTCTGCAGGTGCTTTGCAGGCCTATCTGAAAATACAGAAGCCCTCAACACTGATTCCTCTCAGCTCCCCAGTTTGCAATTTAAAAAACTATAAAATAAAATATGAGAAGTCCAATAGAATTCAAATTTTTCCCTTAGTAACTTTGATTACTTAATTTCCATGCCTTTAAAAATATTATACATGAAATTCTTTACAAAAACTCCTTTTTTAATTTAATTTAATTTTATTTTTAGCATCCATGCTTTGCTAATACTCCAGGCAGGCATATAGTTTACTCATTGAGTAATCCAGCCCTATTTGGATGTTCAGCCAACACCCCAATCCTGTTGTTTATGGGGCATGCGTCTGGGGCATGTTGACTTTTCCCTGAGACTAGGGACTGGGAGGAGCTGGGAAAGCCACATTCTCTGTGGGAGTGGTAAACAGGCTGAGGGGTGGGGATAGGGGCCTGGGAAGTAGGAGCACAGCTGAGATAATGAAACCCTCTAGAGAAAGGGAAGAGGCTGGAAACTAGACAGGAAGTGGAAAAAAGGGGAGAGGGGTAGGAGAGGGGACAGAGGACAGGAAGGAAGAGGAAGAATGGGTGACATTTAGCACCTAACACTGACTTCCTGGGGATGGCCCAGGAGTTCAGGGCCAAAGCTGTGGCTGGTTTCAGGGAAAGCACTGGCTCTCTAGGTGCCTACTAGGTTGCAGATAGAGGTGACCTGTCAAGACGGACATTATTAGCACCCTGTAACTCATTCTGCATGCTGAGAATCTTCCAACTGATGATGGAGACGGGGAAATGACAATGAGCAAGGTCACAGCCCAGGCTTCCTTGTTTTTTAGAGGAAAGGTCCCTTTACATCCCCCTCGGTATCTGCCACATAACCCCTTTACAGCCCTCTCACAAGGTGAGTTCTAATCAGAGGGGAAACTGCATTAAATTCAGGGCTGTGGAGCTTCTGAGTTCACTGAAGGCTCCTTTTGAGCAAATATCCTAATTTGGGAGTTATGCTCTCACCTCTACTCCTGGGAAACAGAATCCCACATGTACTTTGTTGCTCATTTAGGAATAATATCAGTATTGACTGGAGGTGATCACAGTAGTGAAGATGCGACAATAGGGGCACTTTCTAGAACCTGGGTGAATGTTCCCCTGATCACCATTCTCCTACAAAGCAGAATATGCTGGTTAAGTCAAACACAGTGTCTAGATGGCAGTTTCTACTGCTGCATAAAAAGCAGGCAGTATTGGAGAGGTGGCTTCGGCAGCAAAGAATCTTCCAGAAAGAGTATATGTGTGTGGTAAGAACACAGTGTTTAAAATCAGACAGACCCAGGGTTTGGAACTTGCCTGTCTTTCTAGTTGTGTTTTCTAAAACCCAGTTTCCTCTTCTGAAAATACTGATAATATTAGTTCTTATCCTAATGGCTTTTGTGAGATATAAATGAGGGGGGAAAGTCCATGCCAAATGCTAACTGAGCATAGTACCTGGCACATGATAAAGGGCTTAATAATTTATGACCTCAATTTTTATTTTGCTACAGTTTTGCCTAAGTGTCTGCCCCAGGAGCTTTCCCTTTGCAGGGCCCATCTTATAAGTGGTCTTCTTGGTACCCTTGGCTTTCTGCAAGTTTCTAGTTTGCTCCCACTGATTTCCATATGCAGCCCTTATGTGAGGCAAATGGGAGGGAAGGCCAGGAAGGGGGTGAGGCCAGCCTTCTTTGCCAGTACTTAAGGGAACACAAAAGGTTCTTCAAATTCTGTTGGCTTTTTCTTTAGTGACTAAAAATTTATTGTCCTTTCTCTAAATCTTCCTGTCCATTTAGACTACAGAAATGCTTCCTTTATTTAGCTAAGATTAGATATACACACTTAGGCTCTTTCCCCTTCAGGGATAAATCTTTGCAAGCAGGCATCTGGCCAGATCTCTGTCCCGCTCACTGCATGTGAGCAGTGTGTCCACAGGCGGGAACGGTGGCAGTGTTTGTGTCCTGCTCTCCTCTACTTTTGGATTTTGCTGGAGGACAAACTGTGTGCTTTTGAATGGCTTCTCTACTTCATACCTCATTTCTGTTTCTCTCACTGAGTGTGATATTGGAAGCATCTTTGTTTCTATTCAGTGAAAATCTAAGGAATGTGCTCCCCCAGGGTCTCCTCAGGAACAGATAACCTTCACAAGTGTAGACAAATGAAAGAAACTTTTGTGCAGTGTACACTGAAGGTTGGTTGTATCTCAGTGTTTAAAAATAGAATTTTTATCACGTTCTGTAGTTAGGTCTTGTCCTATTGTGTGACCCTCTACTTGTGTAGTGGAGAGCTGATGGCATAGTACACAGATAGGGTGCACATTCTGCCTAGGCCAGGCCTTATGAATATGTGTCTGCTGTGGAGTCTTGAAAACATTAACAAAGCCCCAGCAAAAGACAGCCTTCCCTCATTTTCCCAATGTACCCTGGCCAGGGTGGAGACTTCTGGCCCCTCCTGCTTTCCCCTTGGGAACAGGAGTGGGAGGTAAAGTTTCAAAGATTTGCTTTTAATAACTTGGTGGAAAAGAGGTTTGGTATCTATAAAATTTGTAGGAGTTTATTGAAGAGAATTCCTGAACATAAAGATGAGGCACAGTAGTTCTTAGAAGAGGATTGAAAGTAAAATACTCTCCTCCCACTGAGTGAGCAGGACTTGATAAGCTTCCACTTTAAGGGAATGTATCACATTGACATTTATAATGAATTTCTAGTACAATTTCAGTGATGATGAGCACCATGCTTTAACATTTTTCTACTTTCTCCAAAGAAATAATTGTCCAAATTCTTACTTTTTTTAAGGTAAACTTTAAAATTTACATATATATGATGAAGGATATGTTTCTTATTATGGTTGTAACAAATTACCACAAAGTTAGTGGCATAAAACAACACCAATTTATTCTTTTTCCGTTCTGGAAGTGAGAAGTCCTCAACTCAAGATGTTGGCAGGGCTGGATTCCTGTCAGAAGCTCTAGAACATCCATTTCCTTACCTCTTCTATCTTCTAAGGACTCCTGTATTCCTTGGCTTATGTTCCCTTCCTCCAGCTTCAGAGCCAGCACTGTAGTATCTTCCAACTTTTCTGAGTCTAACTAATGCTTCCTTCTAGTAAGGGCCCAGAGATCCTTCACCACATCTAGGGAACTTTGTAAGTTCCCTTTTATGTATAAGATGACATGCTTATAGGACATGGATATCTTTGAGAGGACCATTATTCTAACCACAGTACATTTTTTAGAAGTGATACCTGTGTAAACACTGCTAGGTTAGAACATAGGACATCACCAGAATCCCAGAGCTACTAACTTGGAGCATTGATTAGCACTATTTAGGGCTTGGGCTGATGGAATACTTTTTAAAAAATCTTGGAGCTGGGTTGTGGCTCAGCGGTAGAGCACTCGCCTAGCACATGCGAGACCCTGGGTTCGATCCTCGCACCACACAAAAATAAATAAATAAAATAAAGGTATTGTATCCAACTATGACTAAAAAAATAAATATTAAAAAAATCTTGAATGTGGTTTTATCCAGGGTACTTGTCACTAAATCCATAAATACAGCTGTAAATGCACATCAACAGATCTGGCACCTTTGAACTTTGGACTCTGTGTGAGTGGTGTGGAAAGCCCAGGGGGGTGTCATACAGACCTGGAGTCACTAGAGCTGGAATTGCTTGACATGTGCATATCTGCTGTGTAGCTACTGATCCATTGATTACAATTTGTATTGATTTTAGGAACGGCATCAACTGCAACTCCAACTCCTGGAGCATGAAACAGAAATGTCAGGGGAAATCACTGATTCTGACAAGGAAAGGTAAGAGGAAATGCCCTTTGTCACGTTGTGAATATCAAAGGTAGGTATGCTCTGTTCTTGTGGGCTCATTTGACCCTTGCGTTTTCACTCATGTGGTTTTCACTTACTAGAAACTTATACAAGGTGACATTGGATTGAGAGCTTCCAGTGTGGAGCAGGTTCTTTTAGGCACTTACATCCATCTTTCCCCTGCACTAGTTGTTGGGCACACTCAAGCACATCAAAGATGCCGCAAGTGCAAAAGTTCAATCTATAAATGTTCTCCCGAGCCTTGAACTCTGCAGGATGTACCTTGTTGATGAGAAAGCTCATCAACTATGACTAATACTGTTTGTCCTGGAAATTAATTTTAAAATGCTTTTGTTTGTTTCTAAACCTTGGATTACCCTTTGGTTATGGGCATATAAAACCCTGGATGGAAAATATGGGAGTCGTCCACTTTCCCTCTAGATATGGAAAGGCAGAGCAGTGGCCCTCCCATGGCTGTCCCTCAAAGGAAAGGAGGCTGGAATATTGGAGCACTTTGAGTGAGTCACTTAACTTCCCTGAGGCTCTTTACTAGACTGTCAAATGAGAATTCTTTTTTTAAAGGCGGAAAGGGTGATAATGTTGAAAGCATGGTCCCTCTTATTGGATCACATTAGGACGGAACTTTAGACCATACTTCCCACCACTTAGTATATGCTGAAAAAAATACCTGTTTTCCTTCCTCTTTTTTAAAAATGTTTTAGTTGTAGTTGGACACAATACCTTTATTTATTTATCTTTATGTGGTGCTGAGGATCGAACCCAGTGCCTCACCCATGCTAGATGAGTGTTCTACCACTGAGCCCCAGCCCCAGCCCCTTCCTTCCTCTTATGTAACTTCAGAGTTGTCAAGGTTATAGAAGTGTTTTTTTTTTTTTGTTTGTTTTGTTTTTTGTTTTTTAACTGTAGTATTGAGGAGGGACTGGCAGAGCTGAGTGGTGCAGACTACCAAACCCTTCCTCTAATGCTCCATGCTGGGGGCCCCCAAGGCTAGAGTCATCTGGGGCTCCTTTGATTTCTTTGAACCAAAGTCAGAGAATCATTTGTGTTATTTCAAAACAAAAGTATGAAATGCTCTGTGACCTGAGCAACTCTGTTTTGATGTGGAGAAGGTCTTTCAACATGTTCTCTGTTTATCCCAAATAAATTATGTATAGGCTAACTCTGACTCCAGCTTTTCTAGGACTCTTGCCCTGGATTTCACATATTTTATTGTGTTGCTAGACTCTCCCTCTCTGTCTTTCTAATCATGGCAACTGGATGCTCCAATCCTGTATTAACCCTGACTACTGTCTTTTCCATATTTCTGGGTACATCTTTCTATACTGCATGTTATATTTCCTTTTCTGCTATTATACCTGTGAGTGGAAAAAAAAATTCTCTTTCCCCGGAAGGTGTAGCAATTGGCTTTACATAGGATACAACTTGAAAGTGGGAACTTGGAAAAGTCCTGTCTTCCTTCTAGTCATCTAGGTTGTGCACTGTAAGAAGAGCCTGTCTTGGAGTTTCTTTGGCAGTATTTCTACAAAGTGGTGACCTGTGCTGGTGTGACTACATTGGTTTAGGACTCAGTTGCTTTTTTTCTCCCTGTGTTAGGTATCAACAGCTGGAGGAGGCATCAGCCAGCCTGCGAGAACGGATCAGACACCTAGATGACATGGTGCATTGCCAGCAGAAGAAAGTCAAGCAGATGGTTGAAGAGGTAAGCAGCAGTGCAAAGCCTTGGGACCAGGAGTGCTTCCTGTGGTGGGGAGACTTCAGCCCTAGAATGGATGTGGCTCTCTCAGCAGTTTCCTCTGGCTCCCACATGAACTTACCCAGGCAGGGATTTCTTCATATGTCTGGTGATTATCCTTCTAAAAGAGGGCTTTCTCCACACAAAGTATTGCAGTTAGAAAGCTGTGAAGGCAAGTGGGTTCATAAATGCACCCTGTCTAGGAGGACAGAGATACCCTCTGTGGTGTGAACAGAGAGGTTGACTTGAGCTCAGGGCGCTGCAGCCTCCCAGACCCGCCTGCCTCTCCCTCCCAGCCGCCACTGCTGTCCTTTCTCCATGTTTGAGTGCCTCTTCCTGTGCTGCTCCTCACACTCCCTTTCCTTGTCTGCTTCTCTCTTTTCTCACAACTCCGTTTTCTCTCTCACTCCTGTTCTTCATGCTTTCTTTTTTCTGTAGTCCTTTCTCTTTCATAATGATCTCTATAACATGAAATGAAGTCACATATTTATTCTTCTGGGGATGTTTTACCTTTTTTCTAAATGAGAAAAAGCAGGTAAGTTGAACACGTACATTTCTCTAAGAGGAAAGAAGAGATCTTTGGGCTTGGTCAGTGTTGTTCATCTCTCTCCCTCTTGTGCTGACTTGATAGAGGAGAGTCCATGCTGTTGTAAAGCCTGTCACATATTATTGTAGTTTGATAGAAAAAGAATAGTCAGTGCTAATGGGGTTATAAGAAATCCCTTGGGTTAAATTCTCTAACTTGCAAAAGAGAAGAAAAGGCATTAATTCAATTCAACATTTGTTTGTCACTGGAGAACTGAAAAAAAATTTTTTTTTTTTTGCCTAATACTAAGCACAACCCTAAAGAGATATCTGTTTTATTAGTGAATTATTAAAATTAAAAGTTTACTTCTGATAAATAATTCATACACATGGTAGACAACATTCAAAGTTTATGTGTTTTATTAACCCATAAAATATTGGGGATGTTAGTGTGGTGGAGTTAAAGTCAGTGAATTAGAAGGGTGAGGAGGGACACTTTTTTTATTGGCTATAGGATAAGCACACATGTCACCCAGATAGAATTTTGTCCCCAGAAGAGAAGCCCAACCATACCATGTGAATCATGTCTTTTATGAGCTTGCACAAAAGTCTCTGGGGAGAAGTGGAATCAGTTAAGGAGAAGCTAGGCCGTACCTTTGTCTGATTTCCACCCCAAGCAGTGGCCACAGGGGTGATTCTGGCCTGCCATCAGCACTAGGTAGATCTCAGAGGTATTTCCCAAGGGGAGGCATCACTTGTTACAGTTCCATCTCAGTGAACCTTGGCTTTCAGGGCATACTTTTTCTGCTTTTGAATTTCACACACTGGAAGTCTGGGGCAAAGGTGATCTCTTGTTGTCTCCCATGGGACTCCTTACCTGTGGGAGCTGCATTTCTTCCTCCTCACTGCAGGAGACTATACTATTCTCATGTGACATGTTGGAAAACCATAAAACAAAACTTCACACTGATTGGCTTTTGAAGCAGTTAAATCCTTATATGTAAGGGTTTTAGAGTGGTAGCAAAATTAGATAGACTTTGTTATAAAGACACTTGAAAGGAAGTATAGACTTCTCTGCTTTGTAACCTGCCAGATTAGAATGAAGGTACCAGTTTGAATGAAGTGGGGTAACATGCATGTGCATACACCTGATTATGTCTCAGTAAATGAGACTTTTGGCTCTAGGACTCCCCAAAGATACCAAAATCCTTGAATACTCAGATCCCTTGCATACAATTTATGTGATCCTTCCATGTACTTCAGATGATCTCCAGATTACTTATAATACCTAATGCAGTGTCAAGGCTATGTAAATAGTTTATGCAGTGTTGTTTAGGGACTAATGACAAGAAAAAATCTGTACATGTTCAGTACAGATGCAATTTTTATTTTTTTAAAATATACTCAAGCTGAGGTTGGTTAAATCCACAGGTGTGGAGACAAAATGCCAACTGTGTGTGTGTGTGTGTATGTATGTATGTATAGGGGAGCATGTACATATATCAATGTCCATGCTGTGTTCTCTCTGCATTCAGAAAGCCCAGTCACTCATAAGGATGGCGCCTTTAGAGTTGGCGCCACCTAGGGGCTGTCTGGGTTTTAACAGTGAATGGAGACTTAAAAAAAGAATGCTGCTTTTTTTTTTCTGAATTTAAATTACCTAAATCAAATAGTAAAAATGATCGTATTTTTCTAGTATACCATTTAACTTCTACAACAAAAGAATTGTTGAAAAATCTCAGCTGTGTATACATTTATGGAAATACACATTTTTTTTCTTAAAGTTAGAAACATGGAAAAGCGGCATTGACAAATGAGCACTTTCAGAAGAGCAGGACCAGGTTGGAAGGAGTTGAGAGTTCTGATAATGGGGGCACTGGTTGGAGAAATTGGGGAGGACATAACCAAGGAGCACTGTGACAGCTGTGCTCTTAGAAAGCAGAAGAGGAAGTATATTTTGGTCTATATTATGAGGCAGAGCCAGGCCAGAACCACTGGGTGGCACTTGCAAGAAAAAAATTTCAGTGCTTCATTCAAAATATAGAAAACGTTTCTGATATTGGGAAGGTATGTAGCCCTTCACCAAGGGTGTCTTCCTCATGAAGTAAGAAGTCGAGTGAGGAGCTCTTCAGTGTTCCAACAGAATTCTGTGTTCTGTCATCTGAAAGGCTGTGTGGAGGAAATCCAGTACCTTTATATAAAGAATTTTTTGTTGTTTACTATGATGTGCCCCTTCTTATGATCTCAGCATTATTACTTTGCATAATGAGTGAAATCAGCTAAACCATAACTAAATCCCTCCAGATCACTTGGGCCAAGTTTTGAAAAATCCAGATGACTGACTGAATTGGTCAGTGTGAGTTCTTGAATTCTGGCTTTAGAAGAGAAGTATATTTTTATCTGGAAACACTTGCTACTGAAAGAGAAAGAGAGAGGAAAGAGGCCGATTTGGCCTAGGATAGAGCCAGCCTTCAAGCAGATATTAGGGACAGTTTTCTTTCCTTCATGCTGAATCTGAAAGCTTGTATGCACCACAGCTCCACCTTTAGCAAGGATGGGAATCCAGTTTCCATCTACCTCTAGTGTCATTTTGGTCTTAATGTCTATGAAGAAACTTATTAATTTGATTGGCTTCTTTTTTTCAGCTCAAAATGTCCAGGTACTACTACTGAGGCTCTTGGAAACCTTAAATATTAAGCAATCTATCTTTTCCACCCCTGTAGGATATCATCTCATAAAAATAGTGGTAATGATAGTAATCTAAATAAAAAGTGACTGGCCCACATTTTATAGTCCTTAGTTCAGTAATGTCATAATTTCCATTGTGTGGGACAGTAAGGACTTGTACTATATAAGAAGGGTTTAGGGTGGGGAGGGGACCTTTTGAAATGTAGGATGAGTACATATTTTTTTTTCTTTTTTAATTTTAATTTGTTATATATAACAGCAGAATGCATTAAAATTTATATTACAAATATAGAACACAATTTTTCATATCTCTGGTTGAACACAAACTATAGGCACACCATTTGTGTCTTCATACATGTACTTAGGGTAATGATGTCCATCTCATTCCACCATCTTTCCTATCTCCATTTCCCCTCCATTCACCTTCCTCCCCTTTGCCCTATCTAGAGTTGAGTACATATTTGAAGGGGTCAATTCATTGAAAAAAAAAAAAAAGCAAAAAGAACAGTGTCTTCTGAAAAGTGTAGGGTAAGTACCTGCACTAGTCTAGGTCTTTCTACAGGATTATGTCGTTTGTCATGGAGGTCAAGCTTCTTCTTCCCATCACTAGCTCTCTTAGCTGATTCTGGGTCTGACAAAAATAGTATGCAAAACAACAATGACATCAACAAAAGCCCCACCTGTGCAGACTGGGTACTGTGGGCCTTTTAGGCTGCTTTTTTACTCTACAAGTGATTCCAGACTGCAGCCAGGGTTGAGACCCATGCCCCGGATTTTCATAGCAGTGGCCTGACTCCCCCTGTTGGGTTTCATGTTTTTCATGAATTCAGCCAGCCTCCCTGGGAAGCTCCTAGACCTGAGGGGAAAGCTGCTGGTGAACTTGGAGTAAGAAGGTCTCCATGGAAGAAAGCCCAGGGGACTAGTCATCAGGGATTAGAGCACTAAAATGAGAAAGCTGGTCTAAGTCTGAAACTATCCAGGTCTTGTCAGACAAGCTTTATTCCTTGCCAACCCCTAGATCCTGGGTCCTGGGAGGATTCTATAAAAACTTGTTCTTAATGCTGTATTGGCTTGGGGGTATGCAGATCATAACATCTTTCTATAGTCATCCAGATCAATCCTGGAGGGATGATATTACAAAGGGGACTGAGATGTCCTTGTTAAACAGAGAATAGAGACTGAAGTTTACAGAATCCAGTCTACATAATGTCCTTGGAGGCTGGGAACCTAACACTTAACACAGAGACTGAGTGGTTCTCCTGGATCCTTTTCCCACTGTGCACATCTGGGTGTATCTGCTCTCCTCCTGGTTTAAACAATCTTCTTCTATTTATCAGAGGACCTTACACTTGGCTATACTGTACCTCTTTAGAAAAGAGACAAACAAGCTAAACTTGATGCACACCTGTAATGCCAGGGATTTAGGAGGTTAAGGCAGGAGGATTGCAAGTTTGAGGCAGCCTGAGCAACTTATCAAGACGCTGGTCTCAAAATAAAAAGTAAAAAGGACTGGGGTTGTGACTCAGTGGTAGAGCGAGCCAGGTTCAATCCTAGTACCGCCAAACAAACAAAACAAACAGAATGCCTTGGTGAAATCATATTAACAATGACCACTTCTGAAGTGGAAGACACAGCAAAATGGTTTCTCAATTCCTATCCAATATTTTTCAAAGTCTTTGCTCACCATCTCTTAGACCCTTTTCAGAGTGATGATGCTCTCATCATAATGTGATGACAATTCCTTGGGGAAACAA